AGTTGATTCCTTTAAAGGGATCATCTCAGCATGTAGATTTGCAGTAGGACGTTTCAGTTTTAGAATTCCTGCTTGCAATTTAGGCACACCGGAAGACGTACATTGGCGTCATTAAACTTTTCTCGTCAGGTGCTCGAATCCTTTTGCAGGTCGGATCTTGTGTTACCGGTATCCCTGATCAAGACTGGGAAGATCTGTTTAAAGGGAGATCGTATTTAAGTTAAAATTTATTCTACCATCACGCAATCACGCAGCTGTTCAGTTTCGTTGAAATAAATCGTTTGCTAGCCTTCCCGTTTAAGTTAATAGCACAATTTAGCTCATTTATTTTCAACTCCGATGACGCGCCTTTCATCAGATCTTTTACACATTTGTAACGAAAATTTCGAAAGTATGGATGGGTATTGTTATTTAAGGGACTTCGTCGACTCCCACCAAAACTATCCTGTTGTCCGTCTTTCGGGAAAATTTTTTGGGTACAAACAAGATTATTCGTTTCTTCTTCCAGGAAAAATTACCACTTTCGAGTTTTGGCGCCAGCCTCATAGTCCTCCTTAATAATAAGGACGTAATCACAGTGTGCAAAGTCGATATTCGTTGGCATTTCCCTTTTCCAAAAATTCGACACCTCATTGCTAAGGGTTACGTGGTTTGTGATTTGCCTTCACAGTTCAATGTTGATGTCTTTCGCAACCAAGCGACTAAGTGCAATACACTGGTAAACTCTATTAACTGAGATGTCAAAGAATTGCTTCGTATTGTTACTGGGCACTCGAAACACTGCAATCTGTCTGCCATTCGACAGGAAATTTTTTAGTTAGCAGGAGGCGCTATTATTCTCAAATAGAACTTAAATCCATATCTTCACAAGTTAAAAGAAATTTGTGGACCGTCATTTTTTCAGCAGTTTTAACAAGAATTTCTGTAATCGCTGAAAGAAATTGGCTCCTGCTTCTTTGAAAATTTCACCTGAACTTCACCAGAAAAAAAAATTTTTTTCAAAATTATTTTTTTATCTGAAATTTCTGATTTGAGGTCTTGAATTTAGATTACTAGTATCCACATGTCCTGAAACCTGCAAATATTTTGTCCTCAGTAAAACAGGCTAAACAGTAGTCTGTGTTTTTAGAATTGATGAGGTGACAATTAATTTAATCGGCCCTTAGCGTCCTATCTTTCTTATTACTCCTCACGCACCTTATTCGTCACGCACTATGCGGCAAGTTTTGGTGTCAGCCTTGAATACTTGGTCTTTATTGCATACAGTTATGTGGTCTGGAGATGTTGGCATGCTTACGCCGTGCCAATCCTTTCCTGGCTCTTATCAAGAAACAAGAAACCATCGACTGTGGAAGTGAAATTTCCAAGCATGTTCTAGTTTCTCCTCCTTTGTAGGACCCTGAAACAATTAAAAATCGTCCAGTCAGGACGCTTTTTAAGGCAAGAGGCCTTGTATGAGGCCAGAGCGAAAAATTTACAGTGCGGATATAGCACCAAACGTCCAAATAGATCTACTTTTAAGCCGTCAAGCGTTAGCTGATTTTCGTCGCGGTTTGCAGTACGCAATAACGAGGCGACTTTAATGTTTGCTTTGACACTAGGTGCGGCTTTCGATTCTTTTGTTCGCAGTAACCCCAAAGGTAATCTGAGTACTTACTTGTAATCGATACGGTTGTGATCATGTCTGATCTAGCCGGCGAGTAAAAGTCTTCCTTACATTGGTGTTCAGCAGCTGCTTTTTGGTGCATACAAAGAGGCGCCTGAGATCTCCGTAAAGTGAACCTTTAGTTTAATTTAAGCCATCCGGTCATTGACTGCTTTCCATGCTAGTAGTGCACAATTTGCTTGTTACGAGAATGCAATAATCACACATTATCTACCAGAAAAGTCGCATAGGCCACTTTTATACAGAGTGAAGTGGGAATCGGCTCCCGGGGATTTTTCTTCTCAGGCGTCTGAGTCAGGGATTTGGACTTCGGATAGGCAACAAACATCCACATGGTATTGATGAAGACAGCGCTCCGTCAGACTTTGCGTATCAGGTTCCAGAAAAGCTCGCACATTCCAGCGTCCACTACTAAGAGTCGGTTCCTGGTTGAGTAGTTCAACTCGCATACTATTCACCTGTACCACTAAACAAGGGTTGCGGAGCGCGTCGGTTCGTGCGGACGCCGTAGCTAGGATCATAGTATCCTAATTAGAAGTGTTTCTGAAGGATCTTGAGGATTTCGAATACAAGCGGATTCCTAATTGCCGCTTTGATTGTTTGTTCGAGATTGTCTCATTTAGCACTTCGGCCCAAGAACCTCACCACAAGGCAGCGGTGGCAAGCAAACTTATTTAATGGCAGTTCACGGTCGCCATGTCGCAGTATCATCGTAGGAACTTACGGTATTTTATAACGCAGTCGATGCGCCGGACTTCAACCCTCCGTGCCCTGGTAGCACTGTCGCTGCTGGTCCGTGACTGGTTATTCGCCACACCGGGGAGCTAACCTTCGCTGAAGGCCGTTCCACTATCCTTCACCTGTGGACGCGCCAGGTAGTCAGCAAGTAGGCTAATGGGTAACACGCCTTCCGAATACCTGCTATTGCTAAGGCTAGAATAGTGAACGTAAAATATGGTTATGGCGTGGGCTCGTGAATGCCAAAAAATTCGCGACCGACTCGAATCTCAATCGGAGAGGTTCGCTAAAAAATAAAACTGAAGATTGGGAAAACCGAAAGGGTACTTGACTACCGCTGCCTGACGATCATCCTTCGAGTGAATTAACCTGACTTCGTCTCAAATGATACGGTCCGTCTTCGCTGCGACAGTATCACGAGGTTATCTCAGGCCATCTAAGGAAGAGGACTGAGGTGCATTGGGCACGTTCGCCGTTGTCTGCTTCACGAGCTTCGTTATGCTGCATTCGGTCCAGCGCCGTAATCAACCTGAGGACGTCGAAGAGGAGGGTAAATCAAGACCTGCCTCGACACCGTTCGTCAAGACAGGAAAGCGGTTCTTGAACCTTCAGTTTTCGGTCTCCGTCGCGGGAGAAGAGAATGGATGGAGCTTTGCAAAGCCGCTGACGCTAATCGATTACAATCGTCTCGCGTGGAGAGGTACCGTCCGCGAAATGATTGAGGTCGGCTAGATCATACGCTCGAAAATTAGTCATCCGTGAGGGCAGCGTTTGGCGTACTTTAATATAATTGGGCAGTCCTTTTAGAGTTAAGGTTGTGAAGACCAAATAACTGCGGCTCGATGTTCCATGTTTATAGCGGGTGTTGTTTTTTTACGTCGATTAATGAAGGGGTATTATTCGAGACAGAAAGGGTATTCAAAGGACTTAAATAACCAGATATACAAATTAACTGTCGCCTTGCGAGAAAACCCGTTGTTATCAAACCGCTGGGACGCAATTCAGTGGATACTGACAATTGTTGGCCAGCGGCATATGTACTTGTACTTGGTACAACTGTCATCATGCCCATCCTAGCCAGCCTCAATTGAGCTGCGTTTTTACCTCTTCACGCCAACAGTTTGGAGAGTTTGACTCATTTTCTCCTTCGACGACGGAGGAAAATTGTTGAAGCTCAAATAACCGTTTCCATGTTTTGTCGAACTGCGTCGAGCCAGGTTTTCAGCTGGGTTTCTCGTCGACGTCTCCGGATAGGCAAAGATACTGGATCGAGGATTGCAACACCGAACTCGTGCAGTGAACGACGAAGAACGTGTCCAACCCGCCTTTGTAGTCTTTCTTGAACGACCTTATATATTCTCTCGCCGTTGCGGCAGTCAACACAGACTGCCACGAAGTCGGTAAAGTAGGGGGATGTTAAAACATCCCCCTTTTTCGCTCATTTTCCATGCGCACAGCCCAGCATTCACAGTCGTTTTGGAGGACTGACTGGCCATTCGACAAGTCAGGTCGAATGTGTTCTAAATGCTTCAAGGTCCTAGCTGGCTTCATAGTAACAGATTGATGTATTAACGCCCATCTGTCAGACCATATTCTGATTAGCACTAGCCTGAAAATTCACCGTTCATTCGCACCTTAACCCCAGTACCTCTCGGTGATCTCATATGAGATCACTTAAAAATTGAGAGCTTTCGTAATTATCTGTCTGTATACGCATATTTAACCTTCATGCATATAGTATTAGGTATAATTTCTCTGATATCCACATGAGATTTTTAAAAAATTCGCTCTAAATTAATTTCTATACAAGTTTGAAAAACCATGGGTATCCAAGTTTCATAACAAAAATGAAAGTGGTTAAAATTATGGGAGGTAGTGTTAATGTCCCACAATCCAGACAACTACATATACAGACTTGGTTTTACTTTCTAATAATACTCTATTTGACTCTGTCAGGTATTATGTTTTTTTTGGTGTTCTGTCTCTATTGCGTGTGTTGCAGTTCTTCTCTCAAGTTCTTATCCTTTTCTTGCAGAAATGGAGTCCAAAAGTCCCTTCCATGAACTGACTCCAGATGAGGTTCCATACAGGAACCCCTTTGTGCATCGTTTCAGTATTCCGCCGCTGCGTCGATTCCAGGTAACTTGTAGCCTACAGTTGTTACGACT